CATCATATGATGGACGAAAGCTCAGCACTTTTTCACCCGAAACGAGGGAGGAAGTCCCGTGGACTGCGTCGCATGAATATCGTATAAAATCCAAACGGCTGCAGTACAACGAGATTCATCCGTCCTCATCTGGTGAGATCGTCCAACGAATCTCTTCTTCATGCACTTTTATACGAAATGAATGTCCCCCTAATAATATAATGTTACCCTCAACAATCTAGCTATTATTTTAGCCAAGTAGGAAAGAACGTGTTATATTAATTCATGACCCGTTTCTTTAGTAGTCAAATTCGCTATAAAATAAGTATAAACTAATCAAGGTTTCAAATTAATCCTTCGCAATATTTATACTAGCTAAGAGAGTTGAGTGTATCATCAGAGCGTCTCGAAACCCATCACATCATAGAGCAATGCCCCAGAAAAATATATCTGAAAGTAGGAGTGAACATGTGCAGGATGCGAAACCATTGAGTGTAATGGAAAAAAGCATTTGTAGGGTAGCGAAATCTGAAGATATTTAGTCAAATCAATTATCATATAGAAAAAGCGAGTTGGAGTGTAAGTACAATTATCTGAAATAAGAGCATAGATGGAACAAGATTGAACTTGGTTAAAAGGTTAAACATAGAGGCTTTTCGGCGCTGGTAATTCAAAAGCCAAAATAATTTGTATAGGGATAATAATTGGCACCTTTAGTTAAATAAAATCGGGCGCAAACTTGGTTTTAAAGCAAGAATCGTCGGATTAAATAGGGAAGTGGTTACTCGTGAACTTCACAATAAGCATCCACAGAACAATCATTTGATATAAATGGTCTTTCAAATGGCTAAACGTATAAATCGACATCCCTATATAATTGTTATGAACGATTAAGCTGAATTAATGCAGTGGGCGTCTGCTACTTACACTACAAGTAAAAATAGATCACGTAGTAACGGTTAATCTGCATATTAAAAGAATATTTGACAAAAAAGTGAGATTATAGTACCAGAATAATAGGGATCAACTTTGCTTAAATTGTATAGGAAAATTTCGAAGGCATATAAAATTTGGTTGATAGAAACTATAAGGAAATTAGTATGAAGAAGTACAAACCCTGAAGCGTTTTGGAGGAGGGAGAAGTCGTCTGGATCACGCGGCCTTTCACAGATAAACTTGGATTTTCATTGACTGGCTCCCAGGGCACCGAACCAGTTAATCGTGATCCAAATGCTTCAATGAACGTGCTCTTGCCAGCCCCAGGTGGACCCGAAATTCCTTGACAGGGGTAAATGGGGGCATAAAGAATGATCATAAAGTTCCAAGGATATTGGCAGGGGTGGTCAAAGTTAAGATAGAACAGTATAAATCTTTCTAGATAATAAGATGCCGAAATATGTAAGAGTACTAAATATGGTTCAGGAATTTAAGGTGAATGTAAAAGTGATTAAATGCGATTAAGAAAAGTGTGAAATCGGAAATATGGTGAAGGTTAGACGACTAAGAATTTGAATTGTCGGGTAACAAAGGTTAGTAAGAAGGAATAAATTGTAGATGAATAGGTAGCATGAAAGAGGGGTGTTAAGAAAGCACAGTAAGAGTATAAGGGGATTTTTTTAGATAGAGAAATGGACAAATGGTGAAAAAAATTCAAGTAAAAACGAAAAGAAATATTATGTTGTTGGAGATAAAATCAAATATTTCTCTAAGTCAGAGAGCGGATAAAAAGGTTATAGATGTAAAACTAAGAATTTACTAGACGCTAGCCAACATCAAAACATCATTTGCGTCATAACATTCATAAGTTGCAGTCCCTGATTATTAAGGCCACGAACTGGTCTTGCAGGGTAAAAAATTAGATGTATTCACCCAATTTCGTTTAAGGTGATGAAGGACTGGTAGAAGAAGAATTTTCCCACAATGAGTTGAGCTGACGTTCCAATTGAATTTCACATAGCCTTGCTTTCCCAAAAGTTGTTCTCATCCAGGGTGGACTGCAGTTTCCACCTCGCATCGGTCTTATCAAAACCCTCAGCGGGAGTCAAACCACGACAGTACAGGATGGGAGCTTGACCTG